GGTACAAAAACCTTAAAAACCCAAAATATTTCAAAAATTTTTTCAAACTGCGAATATTTGATTTCTGTTAAGATGGCTAAAAATCAACTTCCAGTAATGGGAAAGAAAATATTTTATCCGTTAAATAACTGATTTGGCAAAGTTAAAGATGTCCTAACTTTTTTGGTACATAGTTATATCCTGTACATAATTTTCATCCCAAAAATTAGGATGTTGCGTTTCTATTGACGGTGAGTATAGTTTAACATTACTCTTGAAGTTTTTCCTTCACTACTGTTAATATCTGAGTGAGGAGGAACGAAATAGGCTTGGTTGAAATTTTTTACTGGAACCTGCAATGTATTTTATTTTTGTTTGTAAGGATTCTTAAGAAGTTTCGGAATCCAATTATATAAGATAGTTCATCTTCATTTTGGCTCTGTGGAATATTAGAGTATTCAAAATTGACAGGTGTTTATGAAGAGTTTCTTCCTTAGAAAGGAAAGTATAAGTATAAGTAGGATTAACACTTAAAAAATTAAATTCAAGTTCTTCTAGAATGCAATTTATATAATGAGCCTTACAAACGAGGACAATGTTGTTACCTGTTTTGTCACAGGAACCAGTACATACTGATCGTGTAATCAAATTTCTTTTTTTTACTTCTGGTTTATTGAACACAGAAGGATAGAGGGTTTTTCATATTGCCCCTCAATTTTTTTAATACGTTACTTTAACATGGATCTGATACATTTAATCTTTTGACAAGGTGTCAACGTATTCTTTTTCATATCTGGCCCATCGTCTGGAGTAATTTTCAACAGAATCCATAATATTTTATGAAATTTGAGCGAATTGAAGGATCAGGGTTCCCTATATTTAGGCACTTTTTAAAATAAGTGATTTAAGGACCTCATTACGAATGTTTTTACGTACTTTTTTTAACGTGTCCAGCAGGACTATAGCTATAAAGCAAAGAAAAACATGAACACAAAGCAGGATTAGTTTAGATAGTCGGTATCCAGGCCATGTAAAGTATTTTTTTAAATGATTAGTTTGGAAGCAATGGTCGATGTATATTTGTAGGAAATACAAGTTGTAGTCTTTAACTTGAAATATGGTGGAATGAAGATTGTACCCTTTTTTGATTTAGAGTAATTTTAATTAAACCCCGTCAATTCCTTTATTGGCATATTGAAGATAAAGGAAAAGACGGATTGTTTTAGCTGATTTTTTTTTCCCTGAAACGTGCGGGTTTAAAAAACCTATGATATGCAATATCCCTAATCTCAGTCCGAGCCTATACTAGGTGACGAGGAATCTAAAATTGGGTTTCCGCGTCCTTTTTAAGAAAACTATTTAAAAATTTTAAAAGGGAAAAGAGTAAAATTTTTTTCGAATATGATGTAGACCTAACTGTTGATTTTACATACGGTTGTAATGAATCAAAAGAGACATTGTGTATTGCAGGTTTATTGTACAACGATGCCCGTGACTACGCTTACGTCTCTGAGTATGGTTAAAAATCCCCTCACATTTACATTATTACACTGTGGACTGGAAAGATTTCCAACACTATCAAGCATTCTTCAATAATTATGACAATTTTTTTTAAGTTTGAAAGTGGGAGAGAAGACAAAACACTGAAAACACATTTAACTCTAGAATTTTTGGATATGTTGTTCTCCATATATATTAATATTTTCAAACTTATCATTGAACAAGTATGTGCTATTTTCAAACCTATTATATCATAACGAAATATCAAAAAATTTATGCCATCGTTCTATTTCAAAATAAAACACTCCAGATTTCAATTAGCTGGAATACATGGAAACAATTAGAGTGCACATTTTAAAGGATTACCGTTTCAACAGAATCGTTTTCAAAATTTTGATTTTCTACAACATATAAGTTAAAAAACTTAATACTACGCAGCTAGGTTAAGGGAAACCCAAAGGTAGATCAGTGTTTGCAGAGCCTCGGGAATTCGATTATGACGTTACGGTGAAAATGTACAAATGAATCTCGGCGAATAAATAATAATTTTTTTTTCATATACTCTTACATACTTTGATTTCTCATGATTATTCTTAATATAAATCAATGTGTAACTTATTTTGTCAGTATAACACTAATCGAATGTAAAATCAAAGCCAACGTGATCTCGCTGTACTAATAGATATGACGTCATAGGCTAGTTTGACACGCAGTTTCTCTGTACTTGAACCGGATAAAGTTATTAGTAGAACTGAAAATTAAAAATTAAATCTATATAAGCGTGATCTGACTACAATTGATTCAATTTTTGAATGCATTAATCAATAGTTCACAGTCTTATTTAATTATAACTTTAATTTTATAAAGCTGCAGTCATGCATTTTTATATAGAAACATACTACAATCACATGTACAACCCCTCCAAAATCTCAAAAGTTCAACGATATCCGCTTGATTATAGATTATAATATTTTATACACATGTAGATACTGTCCCTACTTTTTTAAAAAAGTGGGAGCAAGTTGTGAGCTTTTGTTTTTTTCCGTAGTTTTACATTTCTTCAATGCGTATATGTAAATGCACATACTTTATCAAAAGTTGGCTAAGTTTTATAAATTACCGAGCAGTGAGAAGTTGCCCCCAGCACTTTTCGGGTGAAAAAATTTTGTCTTAAATAAAACACAATCAATTTCATTGTAAAATTATCCGTATATCTTTAATTTTTCGATCTTTTATCCGTACATATTTTTTCTAATTTAAAACATGTCATGTGACAAACAGCTGATGTACTGAAGTCGCGATGGCCAACTTGTTTGAGACCCCATACATTCATATGCATTGTATAGTTCCATTAAATTAAAACTAATGCTAAAAAAAAAAATATTAAAATTATATTGATTTTTTCGGAATATGTTAAGGCTTATTTCCTATGGGGGGCCCTTTAACCTAGCTGCGTACAAATTTTTAGGTCATTTATTCTCGAAATTATAAATTTGGTTATATAACAGTATGGTTCTCAGGCAAAACAGCCATTCGATGTTTCCATGAGATAGGAAACCAAGATATTTTTCAAATAACATCAATGTTCATTTATCTACTTTTAAAAAAACATGAAGTCTTCCATTGAAAATTTCTGCTTTAACTTTACAAAGAATTTACGAATATTTTATAGTTTTGGTGATAACTAATTGAAAAGAATTTGGAATGAGTAGAAGCTGAAATATTGTGAGAAAAAGCATATGTATATTTATCAAAATATATATATGAATATTTGATAAGCCTAGGCGAAGGACTTCCTGCATAATATCACATTGTACATGCAAAGTTAAAATTTACCTTTTATTTTTTTTTGCATATAAGTAGAAAGTCTGTGTTTAGTGTTTAAATTGGATATTGGCAATTTGCACCCTATTTATTTTCCAGTAATTTATTGCGAAAGTTAAAGTTAAATATTGTGTACTTTTAGTTCATATTTACCAAAAAGAAAAATCTTTGTTTTTGTTTTGTTACTTTTTTTAAAGATAGAAATTTACATAACAATGCACAATTTAAATACCGTGTTTTATAGATATCATATATTTAAAACAATAACTGATTTATTTGACTCACCATTCAAATATAAGACAAGAGATTGAAGTCAGTTGGGGATATTTGAGTTCAAAATGGGTCAAAATTTCAACTCGAATGTAAATAAAAATATCATGTAAATCTACATTAGATTCCTTTTTCAACCCCCACTTGAAAAGTGGGATGGTATGTAGTAATCGGTATGTCCGTCCGTTCTTCTGTCTGTACGTCAGCGTCCGTCCGTCCGTTTCTGTTACCTTTGGGGTACACATTTTTATCCGCAACTCCCTTATACCACTGAGTGACATTGAATGAAACTTTCACAGAATCTTTACTACATACCCCTTTTAAACTCCAATTATTTTTTGACCCGACACATATTTTGGGTTTCCCGTCCACAGCAAAACAGGCCATTATAATTATTGGAGAGGGTATCGTTTAGTCAGCTCATTGCTTACAATACCTCTAGTTTATTTTTAGCCAGTAGTCATAAATACTTTAACAATATCTCAATGTTTGTTATCTCAATATATTTCAATTGTTGAGTGTTATTTAGTAAAAACAACATAATTGATCAAAGGCAAACAAAGAATTTCTTTCTTCAAATTTGAATTACAATGGTTTAAGGGGTTTTTAGTGACCATCGACTCTTTTTTAGCATTTATGGAGGTAACACAGCTTTTTCATTAAATTTTAAATTAAATTGGCCAACCCTAAATTTTTAAAATATCGATTTTGTTCGGTGAACGAATCATACACATGCTCTGAATTCGTAATGTTATGTGTTTTACCTATCATATTTCTTAAAGTACGATATTTTAGTAAATCATATTATATAGGGAAAAAAGTATCAAATATCAAATATATTTTGCGTGAGGAATAAATGTACATGTAATGCAGTTTGTAATTGAAACATGATCAAAGGCTGCTTCCTTATAATTATTACGACGGCTTTAAGCGGATTATGTAATTTTTTTCTGCAATAGCTGCTACTGTTAATTCCAGAATAACAAAACAAAGAAAACATTTTATTGTTCTCAAGTTGTATATCCTTTCAATCAAATCTGTTTTACGCACAGCAAGTTTTCCGAACCCGACAGGATTGAATTCACTGTGTAACATATAAACGGTCTTCATTGAAATTGTGAAAGGTCTTTGTTCTTGTAGAAGCGGGCAAGAAAAAAATACCTTACTGTTGTGCTCGCGTACAGGTCTGAAAATCAACCGCGAATAGGGGTGTTTGAGATGCATGAAACTTTCGAAAGATTCTGAAACAAATAGAGAAAATACAGACTTTAAATTCCCTATTTGATATGCTATAACATGTTGTTTATGAACAGTATCTAAAAGAAAACCATCTACTGTTGGTGGCACAGTTTCATTTAATTAATTGCCCTCACATTTTCCTTTTTAAAAATTCTTCATAAATACAAAATATATCTTCTGTTAATTATAGAAAACACCTGCAGGACCCATAGAAGAACTTGGAAGGAGTGCACAGCTGAAATCATCGAGTATGCTTTGATTCATTAAAATTAACATTTACCTTTTTCTTAACTAACAAACTTACAGGAATTTCAGAAAAAAATTAATGTTAGAAAAGAAAACTTCTATTAAAGTGGGAAAAATCCCAATGTGACTTCTAAAATAATGGATATTCAAAACGGGTACAATACAACCCAAAATCAAAATACTTGCTGCTGGAACGCGCTTAATATTTTAAGAGGTACTTATATAGAATGCTTGGCATAGTGCCAGGGTGATTTAAACTTTAATTGTTTAAGACTTATTGGCCCTTGATTTTGAACTTTGACTCACATTTTTTGAAATCTGTCACTATGCCAAAAAAGCATTTCCACACGTTAAATTCATACATTTTAGCACGTGGACTGTTTCAGGAATTATACTAGCATTTCAACCCACATGTCTTTAAACTTAAACCTTTTTTGCAAAAATACCCTAGGAACTTACATAAACTTTTGTGTTTGGGATATTTGAGAAGAAGCGTTTTCATGAACAGTCATTCTTAAAAATGATTCTGCATGAACGTTTATACATGTCTCTTATTGATTGTTTAAGAATGAATGTTATGTCATCACATTTCATTATCGACATTCTTACTGATGCAACCGTTCACATCGGCATTAGAAGTGAAAGTCACGGGTCTTTCGGATGTGATCTTAAAAACGTAGGTCCCGTGTCACGGTAGGCGCTCGCACGATAAAGAACAATCACTACTCAATGTCCCTAGATGCCAATTATAGGTCTAAATTTGAAGTCCTTCGCTGGCATACAGTGACGTCTCCATATGAGTGGAAAATTCTCTCGAGGTACGTTAAACAATATACAATCAATCAATCAATCAATCAATCTTATTCACACGCATGAATTAAATGGTTGCAATGATCGGGGGGAAATATATTTTTTCATTTAGGTAACGAATAATCATCTATTAAGGACGCTTATATTACCGCTTAGGGAGTTCAATTGACTGAAAACTTCCAGGATCTTGAGAAAAAAAAATATTGGACACTTATGCATTTTGTCACTTTAATTGATGAATAAAAAATGACAGTTCTGCATCATGAGGAATATGAGGGATTGAGACGAGGGTGTGTTAATTTAGAAAGAGGAAATACCATCTATTATTAGATATGCTTAATCAATATAACGCGTTCATTGTTTTTTCATAATGCAAAACTGTAATTTCCTATTCACCATTTAATGTTGGCACTGTGTATTTCATGGACTGGAGTTTTGGAATGGAGTTTAGAGTTATTTTTTGGAGTCAAGCAAAATTGCATCTGTTAACAGAAATAGGATTCAGAATTGAAGAAACTAGTTTTTTGCACCTAAAGCATAAACATTAATGGACAGTTTCTGTTTATCCATAGATAACACCTTATTTTGAACTGTGAAATGAATAGACATATTTAAAATATGTTGTCAAGACAATAAAAACACAAGAAATACCTCATGTCAACCTTTGATCAAATTTTAAAGAATATTTCTTACTTTCATATATGGTGATATTTGAACCACGAGGAATAAGTTTTTGATATTTAGTATATGTTTTCTTGTTAAAATAATTGTTTTTACTTAATTCGTATCATTTTACTTTTCTACGACTTTTTACATAACGTGAATAAATGAAATAAAACATATTGCATTCAAAAAAAAAATAATCGTCTTATTATCTCTTGTACTTTTTCTTTTTATGACCTCGTAATCGAAGAATTGAGGAGGGTATACAGTTGTTGTCCTGTTTGTCTGCTTGTCCGTTTATCAGCACAATCTTTTAAACTTATACATAGGTTTCGAGTGGGTGGGGCTATGGTTTTCGTATTTCATATGTGTATTTCCTGTGACAATATTTCGCTTCTGGGATCTCCTCTAAATCTTGAACTTAGAGTTTGACCCACTTTACCTATACTTTAACCATAGCCATTAGTTTTGATTACTTGATGCTAGGCTTTCATTCTTGACATGTGCATTTCCTGTAACAAGATCTGTCATTGGGTATAATACATATTTGAACGTTTGACCTTGGCCTTAGAATTTGCCCAGCTTTTTAAAAAACTTAAATCTTGACCATAACTTCGGAACTGTAAGTACTAATGCTTCCATGCTTCATACGTATATCCTTATGACAAGACCTTATTGGGTAAAACAGTATTTGACCTTTTGACATTTACCTCAAAGTTTGATCCACCTTAAAAAGACATTAACCTTGACCATCTGAGAAATCTCAACCCTCGCCATAAGCTGCCACACAGGGGCATCAGTTTTTTTAAAAAGTCTAATTAGTTTGGGTGGTGACAGAAATAAATTTATCAAAAATATCCCAACAATGGTATCATCAGTACGGAAATCTAAAGTTGATTCAAAGACTTTAGATACAGAAAATCTTATCAAAGTAAAAACCGCGCAGCTCGCGTCAAGATACTGTGAACATTAAACTGTTAAATATGAATTGTAGATCTGTAAAGAATAATACTCTTGCTATTTCTGATATGATAGTTTCAAACATTGACATAATGGCTATCACTGAAACTTGGTTAGGTAGTGATAATGATAAAGTGGTTTTGCCAGAGCTAGTACCAGATGGATACAGATGTATTCACATACCTAGAACAAATCGAAAAGGAGGGGGAGTTGCAATGATTTTTAGCAAAAACATTAATTATATCAAATTAAGTCAGACATTGAATTTTCACATTTTGAGCATCTTGATTGTATCATTTCTTCTCGTGTAACAAATTCTCGCATCTGCATTGTTTACCGCCCACCTATATCAAAAACAAACAATCTGAAAATGAGAGATTTTTTCGAGGAATGGTCCTCATATTTCAATCAGCATGTCATCGCACCGGAGGAACTGTTCATGACAGGTGATATCAATTTGCATCTCGAAAAATCTGAGGATCCGACTTCCAGACAATTCCATGCGATGCTCCAAGAGTATGGTCTTGTGCAACACATATCCGCTCCAACTCATAAGCATAGGCATACATTGGACTTCGTTATTACACGTGAAAATAGTCATATTTTGACAAATTCCCCTACAGTTGACGACCATTTTCTTTCTGATTTGCAGGGCTTATCTACAGTTGATCATAAAGGAATATATTCATCGCTATGTCTGTCTAAACCACCTAAAATGCGGAAATCTGTATCGTTTAGGAAACTCAAAAACATTGCTATTGATAAATTCGGAGAAGATGTCATAACTTCATTATCGAAGTATAATCGTGATTTATCAACTGATGAACTCGTACAACGATATGGCACAGATATGAGGGCTCTAATTGAACAACATGCTCCATTTCAAACTAAAACCATTGTTGTGAGACCAAATACAGAGTGGTTCTCTGAAGAACTTCGCGATTCAAAGCGAGAAAAACGCAAAGCTGAACGCGTTTGGAGACGTACCGAGTTGACTGTGCGCCGTGAAATTTTTCGAGAAAAATGTATCGAACACTCAAAATTGTTGTTTCTAAGCAAGCAGTCATATTATTCGAACAAAATCATTGAATGTGGGTCGGATAGTAAAAATTTATATTCCATTACAAATAAACTCATGGGTAATACGAATGACACACCTCTTCCGGAATGTATTAGTGACAATATTTTATAAAATAAATTCAGCAAATATTTTGTGTCAAAGATTCAGAATATCAGATCATCTTTGTTGTCTTCAAATTCCGTGAATGATCATCATGCCGATGCATTGTCGGCTGATGTGCTGTTTACAGGTGTACCATTGAATTCATTTGATCCGCTGCTGGCGATGAGATCAGGAAACTCCTAATATCTATGCCACCAAAATCATGCGCACTAAATGCGGTGCCAACATCGATAGTCCGCAACTACGTTGAACAATTCGTACCTTTCATCACTGAATTGGTGAATAAGTCATTAAGTCAATCTGTCATGCCGAAGAATTTCAAACAGGCTATTATTAAGCCATTATTGAAGAAACATAACCTAGACACGAACGAATTTAAAAACTATAGACCTGTTTCAAATTTATCATTCCTCCCAAAGGTTTTTGAGAAAGTCGTTGGAATTCGCCTAGAACATCATCTAGACTCAAACCATTTGCACGATACTCTACAATCTGCATATCTTTCGTATCACTCAATCGAAACTGCACTGTTGCGTGTTCACAATGACATCGCTACCGCCTTAGACAACAATTCCTACGCTGTACTTGTCATGCTCGATCTGTCGGCCGCGTTCGATGTTATAGACCACAAGATTCTTTTCCATCGTCTTGAATACTTATACGGGATAACCGGTTCTGTGCTGTCATGGATAAAGTCCTATTTAACTGACAGGAGTCAGAGAGTTTCGATAGGTGCAACCTTATCAAATGCGGAATCGCTTGAAATCGGTGTGCCTCAGGTCCCGGTTCTTGGACCCCGGTTGTACTGTTTGTTTTCGAAACCTATAGGAAATATACGCAAGCTTCATAAAATGTGGTATCACTGCTATGCAGATGATACCAAAATATATTTTCTTATTGAGCCAAACAAAGACTTGAATAATGTGGCTTCTTCTCTCAGTGCTTGTTTCGTCGACATAAAATAATGGATGTGCACCAATCTTTAAAAGTTAAATCATGAAAAGACTGAATTGATGTTCTTTTGTCCAAAACATAAAATTAAGGACGTTTCAACATTCAATCTTGTTTTTGGAGAAAGCTCAATTAGTGACTCTCCTTTTGTGAAGAACCTTGGAGCCTTTTTCGACCAGACTCTAAGTATGGAGAAAAACAGCAGTTCAATAGTTAGAACATCTTTCAATAATATCCGGAAAATCGGTCGTATCCGTCCGTACATCACAGACGACGCATGTAAAACTTTGATAAATTCACTTGTTACTTCCCGACTCGATTATGCAAACTCATTGATGTATGGTATAAATAAGCAACTTGTGAATAAACTTCAAAAAGTTCAAAATACTGCTGCGCGGCTGATAACTCATACCAGGAAATCTGATCACGTAAAACCAATCTTGAAAGATCTCCACTTGCTCCCTGTCCAAAATGGTTTGTGACCCACATTTAATTTCATTCAGTCCCCCTTCATCTTCCTTGAGAGTGTGGAAAATATCCATTGGTTTCTTGAACGGACAGAGCTCTTTGATACGACTTTTTGTGCTCTCAAATGTTCCTTGCTATTTCGAAGATGGTGTTTCACTGCTGTTTCCATGGGCTGAAACAGTTACCGAAACTTCCTTTCCAACAAAATAATGCGGGACAAGCATTTGATCTAATATTGAATAACTGTCTGAGTCTTGTAATTGAATAACATTTCTGTGAAGTTTTCTCGTACTTTCTTCTTACATGTACGACTCTAATCTTTTCTGATACCATGGAAGAGTAAGCAATGCTAGCTGCAAACCTGTAGCTCCCTCCTTGAGAAAATTCGGAAAGATAAACCAGAGAGCTACAGATCCAAGCTTTGTAAAACCCTTTGATTTACGTCGCCGAATTTTAGTTCTGCATCTAAAGCAATATCTGCCGACTGGTCATACACAGTCATTGATCGGGAATGGAAATCGAGTTGGTAATCACCTTTTTATATTTCAGATGAAAACCAATCAGAGCTTATATCTGCAGTTTGCAGTCATGATGCTGAGCCGTTCAAACAGTTTGGGTATTCACATGGACTGAGCGAAGAATTGCATTTGTGCAATCAGTAAGTGTCATTATTCATATTTCTTATAATTCTCACTAACAGATTGAGAAAATACTTACGAAAATTTTGCTATCATTTCAGCATTTCTGCAACACAATTTCCAAACCAAGAAATAAATCCCCAGTCTACTTCCTGTGCAGTACATAAGAACGAACCTGTTACCTTTTATGATTGTCTTTGCTGTTTCGTTCCACATAAAAGACAAGACTGTTTAATTTGTACAAGAATTCCATATTCATTGATTCCTGAAAATGTTGTTGGTTAGTTTTAAAATAAAATCATTGAAATATGGAGAGCTGTTTAGAATTTAATAAGAATTTTAACCGAAATATCATACAGAGTAGAAATGAAAACAAAGCGAGGATAACAAACACTGATCCATTAAAAATGACAACAAATAATGCATGTCTTCGCATGGGCAAAAATATCACCGTCCTTCGGAGATTTTACAGACGTGATTTCTTACCTTGGAGGAATAAATATCCCCTTTCTATCATTCTCATCTAGTTTGAGTCCTTTGTATAGATTAAATGCAGGGAATATTAAAAATAAAATCATAATGAATTCAAAGGCTGATCAAATTGCAGAAAGCTCTTGAGGTAAAAAGCCAAAGTAAGACCCAGTTCTGGCATACAACTCAGGGGCGTTGCATCGTTTTTGAAAGTGGGGGGGGGGGGCAGCCAGAGGAATTTTTTTTACTTACCTAAAAAAGTTGACAAGCCCCCCCCCAAAAAAGGAAAAAAATTTCCCAAAGTCGAAAATCCGATTTCGTGGGGGGAAGGGGGGGGGAGGTTAGGTAAACTTTTTCCAACTACATTCAGTATCAATTCCAATACTACATTCTCGGTACATCGTTAAAAGTCTTAATGTGGGGGGGACCAGGTTTTCAATTAACATTTCCTATAATATAAGTAAAGTTGGAAAAAAGTGGGGGGCCAGCCCCCCCCCCCCTGCCCTACGCAATAACGGTCACTGAGTAATGAGGTATCTTATCTTTTGTACCATAGTTAGGTGTGATTTCTTTTGTTAAAAGTGTGGGTTTTCTGTACATAACTGTACATAACCAACACCTTTCTATAACTCCGCCCATCGAGTCAGGACAAAAGAACTATAAAATCATGCACACATTTTAAATGAAACAATCATCTGGGCTGGTTAAACAAAATTCAGAAGAGTAAAAATTATCAGTTGTGGAGAGCATTATGCAATAATAAACAATTATAAACGAGCATCAATGCTTTAACTTTAGTTTAAACCAAAAAAAAAAAAAATTTCAGAAACCGCTTAATTGTTAATTATTTTGAGTGTCATGACAGGATGACGTTAGCTTATTAGATTCCAATATCGTTCTTTTGATAACCAACAAAGCAAACACTGTACAAACATGATGTAAAAACAAATCTGTACACTACTGTACTTAAGTAAAGTTTTTGATCTAATCTAATTTTCATTGAATTGAAATATGCATAACCTCTAACAAACATTTCCATCAACGTACCACTGCGCATGACAAAGCATGTATCAGGTTTACAAAAATTTAAGTAAAACCAAGTTCATAATAAATTATTTGATTTTGACGATTGAAATTTAAGAGAAACAAATTATATAGTGAAAACTGTCTAATCCAACACGTGAACAATCCAACACACAGAGAATTCCGAAATTAAATTTCTTTCCCATTTTAGTATTTTCCCTGTTTTTAACACTGTGCAATCCGACACTCTTTCTATTCCGACACAAAATTTATCTCCCAGAGCATGTCGGATAAGACAGGTTTCATTGTAGAAAATTCGAAACCGGCATGACGTTGTGTCTCCACATGAGGGAAAAATTCTCGAGGAGAACGTTAAACAACATACAATCAATTTGTCAAAAGTATTATGTATAAATCACTTACTCTGTACTCGATGGAAGTGGTCAGAAGGACACAAAGGAGCGTAAAATCAAATAAAATCCAAATGTTCTATTGATACTAAATATTAAATGTTTGAATCACACGAACCAGTCCAAAAATTCCTTAGCTGACTTATATATAATTGATGTTTCCTCAAGAGTACTCTTCAACTATATATTCAAGAAGTGGTGTGAATCAGATGTGGATACTGTGAAATTCTAAAAAACTCTTGGACAATTTGAAATCACAAGACTTTACAAAAATCGCCAGCTTAAAAACTTACGACTTTTCAACCTTTTACACAGCAATTCCCCACGACAAATTAAAATCCAGGCTTTCTAATATCATTGACAGCTGCTTCTTCAATGAAAAGGGAACTCGTAAATCTACTTACCTCTTCACTGGTCATTTGCAAAATTATTTTGTTAAAACAGATTCTGATTGCACACACAAGTACTCTGAAGTTGACATCAAGAAGATGCTTGAGTTTCTGATTGACAATATCTATGTGGTTTTTGGAGACCAGGTATTCCAACAGTCTATTGGAATTCCCATGGGTACAAATTGCGTTTCGTTATTAGCAGACATTTTTATATTCATATGAAGCAGAATTTATGCAATATCTTATACGTGAAAAGAAGAAAACATTTGCTGTGGCCTTCAACTCGACATTTAGATATATCGACGACATATTGTCAATTAACAATGGTAATTTCCATTCCTACGTCGATACCATATATCCAGGAGAGCTTGAGATAAAAGATACCACAGAGTCTGACACATCTGTTTCATACTTGGATATTTTACTTGAAAAAGACGTTAATGGTAACCAAACAACCAAGTTATATGATAAACATGATGACTTTAACTTTTCTATCGTCAACTTCCGATACTTATGCAGCAGTATACCTTACACCTTCATCACTTGCATACGGAGTATATATATCTCAGTTGATTCGATACGCAAGAGCATGCTCTACGTATGAACAATTTCTTAAACGAGGAAAATTATTGACAAGCAAGTTGAAGAAACAAAAATATCAGCAGTCTCGTTTAAAGTCATCATTTCGTAAGTTCTGTGGTCGATACAATGACTTTGTCACCAAAAACAATTTATCATTGAGTCAAATGCTGACTGACGTTTTTCATACCAATTGTTAATCCATTATTTATACACTGAAATGACGACGGATTTTTCCATTATTTCACGATCATGACAATGAGCACACGGCGAGTGTGACCGGTCAGCAAGGGTTGCTCACTCCTCCATGGCACCTGATCCCACCTCTGATGTTTCGGAGGTCTGTGTTTGCTCTGCTGTTGTTTTGTATTTGTATTGTGAATACTTTTCGTTATCTCCATATCATTCCTTTAAGGGTCTCCGATATGATGGGAATACACAATTAATGATTAGCATTTACAAGATGTGTGTTAGCTGAAAGTTTTAGTAATTTAGTGAATGAAATCTACCCCTGCTGATTTACTACATCAAGCGCATTCAGCATATCAAATACTTCTGTCTTACTAATTTGGTGGAATACTGGAAAATTTCATTCCGAAGTTTTTATTTTGTAAATTTGTTTATAATTCAGAATCAAAATTTTGCCCTGATATATCTGACAATAACTTAAAGTGTGTATTAGCTGATAAGCTGAATATTGCTCAGGTTACTCCAATACGTAAGAAAAATAGTACCTTAGAGAAGGGTAACTATAGACCAGTGAGCGTCCTCCCAACAATATCAAAACTTTTCGAAAGAGCAATAGAAACACAGTTAACAAACTTTTTAAATGATATTTTTAATCCTTTTTTATCAGCTTTTCGGTCAGGTTTTGGATGTCAGTCTACTCTGTTGAGAGTTATTGAAGACTGGAAATATGCCCTGGATAAAAATGAATACACTGCAGCTATTTTAATGGATCTTTCCAAGGCCTTTGATTTCCTTCCCCATGAACTACTTCTTTTGAAGCTAAAAGCCTATGGACTATCAGAATCAGCACAAGAAATGCTTTATAGCTACCTCTCACATAGAAAACAATGTGTTAAATTAGGGCATCATGTTAGTGACATGTTAAACATTATTAAAGGTGTCCCACAAGGATCTATTCTTGGTCCCCTGTTATTTAACATATTTATAAATGACCTGTTTTTCTTTGTAGATAAATGTAACCTCTACAATTATGCAGATGATAACACCCTATCAAAGTCTGATAAATCTCTAGAACAGGTGGTAGCAGCTTTAGAACATGATAGTAGATCTCTCATTACATGGTTCTCTTCAAATAAAATGCAGGCCAACCCTGAAAAATTTCCCGGAAATAAAACACAAAGTAAAAACATTGTATTTGATTTAGATGGAATCAAAATTCCTTGTGAGGATGACGTTAAGTTGCTAGGTATAACCATAGACTTTAAGTTGTCTTTTGATACACATTATGACATATTACAAATATGTGCAAAAAGGCTGCAAGGCAATTAAATGTTCTTAAACGGTTAGGAAAGCACTTAACTAAGTTAGGAAAACTTACAATATATCACTCTTTTATCATGTCAAATTTTAGTTATTGCCCCTTAACATGGCATTTTTGTACTGAGCAAAATACTCGCAAAATAGAGAAAATTCAGGAAAGAGCATTACGATTTATTTACGAAGATTATAAAAGTTCTTATGAGAGTCTTTTACATAAATCTAAACTACCATCTTTGAAAACCAGAAGAATGCGTGCCATTCTATAGAAACCTTTAATATTTTACAAGGTTTAAGTCCTGTCTTTTTGCAAGATCTGGTTGTTTTTAAAAATAATTCATACAATTTTAGATATACAAATACTGCAGAGGTCCCAAGACCAAGAACAACAAGGTATGGGATGAAATCATTTAGGTATGAGGCAGCAAAGCTCTGGAACTCTCTACGCAATGAAGCCAGGCAATTCTCCTCATATAATCAATTTTCAAATTACATTTCAACTTGGTGCGGAGAACTAAATTGTAAATGCAGCTCCTGTAGACTTCAGACTTCTATGCCTCATGCCTAATTTTCAGTTTTATAGATGACCGTCTTAAGTTATTATTTATTTATTTATTTATTTTTACAGTATTGTGCTTTCTTAACCTTTCCTCCATGTTTGTGTGCATGACTTTTGTTTTAAGTACTTGTTGTTCTCTTATGTTGACTCTTTTATTTTCTTTGTGTGTTGCTCTAATGTTTTGTCTTTTATTTCTTTCTTTTCTTTTTATGTCTGTTTATCAATGTCTTTGGTTACACTTGTGTGTTTAAATGAACTTCTATCTTTGTGAAATTTTAATGTGATATTTGTGCTCTTATGTGTATATATGTACATTTTATTATATACTCACCGCCAAT